GGACTAATGGATTGTCTGAAGACCTGGGAAGTTGAATGGTCTTAAACAGATCAAACGGGGGAAACTGGGTGGTCTGAGCTCAAACTGCCACCAAGGGGAAGAAATATTTTCCATTTTTAGGATAATATAATGTCCTGAGCAATGAAAGTATCCGAGGAGACGATGGAGGAATGGATTTAAGAGAAAAGGATGAAAGTGTGAGCGAGAAATATGGGAATATGGTCGAGAGAGATGTCCTGAGGAGGAGTTTTGTGTTGAAAGAACCTCTCCTGAGAGAGTCCCTGATTCCTGGGACAGTCAGAAAAGGCTCCAGAAGGAAAACACTTGGAACAGGGCACTGGGAGGAAGATGGTTTTGGTCACATTGGCAGGACTCTGGGCCATAAATTTTAGGGAAACTAAAATGTGAATAGGATTTTATGATTTTTTTGGGGGGTGTGGTGTCAAAGGTCTTTGCTGTTCCTTCTCTTCACTCCTGCTCCTCCTGGCTGTGGAAAACACTTTTTCCTCTGAAACTCCAGTCCAAAATGAGTTTCATTTTCAGGGAATATGATGAAGTTGGTGCAGATGCTTCATCTGCCTCAAAGCCATCGGGAAAGTAAGGATAGAAACCTGAACTGGGGTTTGTCCCAGTGGGGAAGGAGGGGAATGGTGGGGTTGGGGATTTTGGGTCTTGGAGCCAGGCTGGGAGAGCTGGGGGGGTTCCCCTGGAGAAGAGAAGGCTCCAGGGAGAGCTGAGCGCCCCTGGCAGGGCCTGAAGGGGCTCCAGGAGAGCTGGAGAGGGACTGGGGACAAGGCAGGGAGGGACAGGACACAGGGAATGGCTTCCCACTGCCAGAGGGCAGGGATAGGTGGGATATTGGGAAGGAATTGCTGGGTGTGAGGGTGGGGAGGCCCTGGCCCAGGTTGGGCAGAGAAGCTGTGGCTGCCCCTGGATCCCTGGAAGTGTCCAAGGCCAGGTTGGAGCAAGCTGGGCTAGTGGAAGGTGTCCCTGCCCCTGGCAGGGGGTGGGACTGGATGGTCTTTAAAGCCCCTTCCAACCCAAACCATTCCATGATTCCATGAAACAGAGAAGTTTTTAAGGAGGTGGGATGACTCCTTGTCCTTTCTTCCCTGAAGGAATCCGTGGTGAGGGGGAGGTGAACGGGCAGAATTCCAGCTGAACTGTCTGCCTTTGGTGCAGTCTTAGCAGAAATCTCCCAAATCTGGTCTTTAAAGGTCTGATTGGTGTCTGAGGTGTTCTCCAAGTTTCCAGTAGGTCCTCGAGGTCACCACAAAATACTGGGGGAAGTGGCAACTTCTGCTTGTTCAGCAGCAGGGAATAATTGCTCCTCAAATCCCCTGGGATGGTAAAACCCAACGTGGTGTCCGGTGGGAGCCCCCAGCCATTGTCACCCAGGTGGCTCAACCTGGTGTGCTCTTGGATGGTTCCAAAGTTAATTTATTAAAGGAATGGGGGAAAAAAAAAAACCCTCACCTTCAGCTTTAAATTTGCACCACAAATCAATTAATTAGTTAATTAGCTCCTGTTTATTGAGCAGTTTCCCTCCGAGCTCTCGGTGCTGCTGCCGGGGGTGAGTTGATGAGGGGGGAGATGATCAGGGGGTTTTTGTGTAGGTTTTGGGAGGTGAGGCACAGCTGAATTTCATAATTATCTTTGGTTTGGTCCCATCAGAGGTGGGGCGGGAGTGGGACAACCCCCTTGTGTCTTGGGAGAAGGAGGTGGTCAGCACCAGCATCCTGAGAATTCCCAGCTCCCAGACCTGGGAGAGGAGCTCCCTGCTTGTAGGTCCTCTGAATTTATTGCTTGGCTTAATCACTTCATATGGCACTTAAATTTTATCACTGGGCTTGATAAAAGTTGTAATAATCCTCCTTGTGCTGTCCCTGATTTCTGGCTTGTGATCCTTCCCTTTCCTGAGGGAAACAGCTTTGGAGAGCGAGGAGAAGACACAGGACAGGGAAATGCTGGTTCCCAGATATTTCTAAAGTCCTCCTTAAAATGTCCAGTTAGTTGCAGGTTCAAGTAGATTCTTAACCTGGTCCCAGGAGAAAGGCTGGGATTTGCACCCAGTCCAGGTTTGTCCCTTGCCAGGGTGTTGACACCACTGATGGATGGATGGATGTGCCCAGCATGGATCAGGAGCTGCTCATCCTGTGCCTCCCTGACTCCCACCTGGAATAAAAATTATAATCCAGGGACAAAAAAACCCCTTTATCTTTGCAGTGCAGGGGTGGCAAGAAGGTTTTTTTGGCTGGATTTGAGCACCCTTGGGAAGGGCAGAACCGGGTTGGGAGAGCTCTGGGCACCTCAGCAAGCCTGAATTCCTTTGAAACCCGGAGCTCCAGCTCGGAGAAGACAAGGAGCAACTCAGGCTATGGCTCCTCGAGGCTTCTTTGCAGACATTTCATAAGAGCCCGGGAGCTGAGGGCATCCTGAGGCAGCCTGGTTGTATAATGCCAGGACAGCTGGAGAATCATTAAATTACCATCAGGTTGCCTTTTCATTAATTTATTTCCTGGTGTGGAGCAGGTTGACAGCTGGTGCCTCGCTCAGGTGATATTTGTTGTTGCTTGTTGTTTGTTTTGTGAATTCTAAATGAGATTTCTCTCTCTCTCTCTTTTTTTTTTCTTCCCCGTCTCCTTCGGCTCCCAAGAGTTCAAAGGGAGCCGTTGTCCCTTCTCTGAAGTGTTTAGAATCCAATTTCAGACGGAAAACAGCGCGGGCGTGGAGGGAGGGGAGGGAGGAACAGGCGGGGATGAAACGTCCCAGGTTTTCCACCTGGAACGCTCCGGTGGCTCCCGCGGGCGTTGGAGGAGCCTCCCGGCTCTGGGGCCTGGGGGTGGGATCCTCCCGTGGAGCCAGGATGGTAAAACAAACCACCCCAGCAGGGCTGCTCAGGGCCCAGGGTGGGGGGTGAGTGGCACCCGTGGGGTGTGGAGCTTTTCGGGGTAACCAGCTCTCCTCCGCAGCTGAGCTGGGAGAAAATGAGCTGGGAATTTTATTTTTCCTGAATGTATCGATGGGTCTCGTAAACTGCTGTAACCCCACGCAAGCCACGTTCTCCTGGAATTCCTTGGGTTGGAGAGATCTTAAAGCTCATCCCAGTCCCACCCCCTGCCACGGGCAGGGACACCTTCCACCAGCCCAGGTTGCTCCAACCTGGCCTTGGACACTCCCAGGGATCCAGGGGCAGCCACAGCTTCTCTGGGCAACCTGGGACAGGGCCTCCCCACCCTCCCAGCCAGGAATTCCTTCCCAATATCCCATCTAACCCTGCCCTCTGGCAGTGGGAAGCCATCCTCCCTGTCCTGTCGCTCCATGGATTGGAAGGGACCTTTAGTAATCATTTAGTTCAACCCTCTGGAAGGGTTGAAGGCAGGGACACCTTCCACTAGCCCAGGTTGCTCCAACCTGGCCTTGGACGCTTCCAGGGATCCAGGGGCAGCCAGAGCTTCTCTGGGAAACTCATTCCAGGGCCTCCCCACTATCCCAGCCAGGAATTCCTTCCCAGTATCCCATCTCCACGTACCAAGGACTGGCCAAGTGTTCAGAACTGGGCACCTCATGTAAGGGAACGTCACACACTGGTTTGGCTTGGAAGGGACCTTAAAGCCCATCCAGTGCCACCCCTGCCATGGGCAGGGACACCTTCCACCAGCCCAGGTTGTGCCTTGTCCAACCTGGCCTGGAATTCCCTGATGTTTGTGGCTTTGCCTCCCTGTTTTCCTATGAATTTCTTGGTGTTCTTTGTCCCCCCTTTCTTTTTGCTGCCCCTGGAACTGGTTGTTTCATTCCCCCCCTTTGGTTAAATCGATCTGATGTTTGTCCATGTCATGGTGCAGAAAGCAGCTGGTTGTATCCCTCTAATCCCACACCTCCAGGGTGACACTGGGAATTGGATACAGGAGAGCTCACCAGATACTCTCAGGACTGAACTGTTGGGTTGGGACTTGATGTTTTGAGGAAAACTCTTTGCTGTTTAAATTGAATTTTGCAGGAAAATGCTGGAGCAATGTGATATTTAATGATATTAAATGCAGTATAATATATTAAATATATATAATATATGCAGTTTATATTGTACCAGCCATGGTTTGGGCACAGCCCCAGGGCAGTGATTGTCCCTGTGCTGGCACTGCTGGGGCACCTCCAGCCCTGGGGGCAGTTCTGGGACCCTCAGACAGGAGGGACATGGAGGTGCTGGAGCGTGTCCAGGGAAGGGAATGGAGCTGGGAAGGGGCTGGAGCAGCAGGAGCAGCTGAGGGAGCAGGGGGGTTCAGCCTGGAGAAAAGGAGGCTCAGGGGGGACCTTCTGGCTCTGCAACTCCCTGACAGGAGGGGGGAGCTGGGGGGAAGTCGGGTTCTTTTCCCAAAAAACCACGCAGCAGGACAAGAGGAAACAGCCTCAAGTTGCACCGGGAGAAGTTTAGGTTGGATATTGGGGAAAAATTCCTCCTGGAAAGGTTTTTCCATCCCTGGCACAGCTGCCCAGGGCAGTGGTGGATCCCCATCCCTGGAGGGATTTCAAATCCCTGTGGATGTGACCCTTGGGGACAGGGGTCAGTGGTGGCCTTGGCAGTGCTGGGGGGGATGGTTGGACTGGCTGATCTCAGAGGGCTTTTCCAACCTAAAGGATTCTGTGATTGCAGATCCGAAGGAATGTTGGATGTAGTGGTTCGACCCCACTCAGTTACTGCTCACCCTCCACCTCCTCAGAAGATCTGGAGGGATTTCAAATCCCTGTGGATGTGGCCCTTGGGGACATGGGTCAGTGGTGGCTTTGGGGTCAGTGGTGGCCTTGGGGGAACAGTTGGACTCGATGATCTCAAAGGGCTTTTCCAACCTAATCAATGGGTCAGTCGTGGCTTTGGGGGAACAGCTGGACTCGATGATCTGAAAGGGCTTTTCCAACCTGACCAGTGGAATGATTTTATATTTCAACTCAGCCCTGAATTGGGATAATTTGAATTCCCTAAATGAACCTTTCCTCTTTTCCAGGGCGCCCGAGAAACCTTCGAGAGCTACTACAGGAAGCAGAGGAGAAAACAAGCCCGGCTGGTCCTGCAGCCTCCTTCCAACATGGTACCTCCACCCCTGCTCCCTGGGGCATCCCAAAATTTCCCAGTGGCTCTTGGGCCACCTCAGTTTTAATCTTTATCCCTTTTTTCTTCCTTGCAGCACGAAACCTTGGACGGCTACAGGAAGTATTTTAATCAAATTGTAGGGTAGGTGTTCTTTTTATACCCTTTTTATACCCCCCCCCCCCCAAAAAAAAAACGGGAGAGGATGAGGAATGTTGGAATTTTTGATGGTCCTTCAGGCCCAAAAGAGGGAAATGAAAGGTGGTTTGTGCTTTTGAAGTGGTGCAGAGTGGATTTTATGGCACCAATGGGAGCGTGGAGGGACCTGCCAGCTCTTGGAGCAGCCAGTGGATTTCTGGGAATTTCTGGGAATTCGAGGATAAATAACCTCTGTGAACTCTGTGCACCTTCTTGCCCTGCTAATGAGGGGAACAGGCCCTCTGCCTCAATTATCCTTGCATATTTAATAGTTATTCTGTGATGGTTTTCCTTGGAAAGGAGGTGATTCTCAACCCCCTGGTCTTTATTATCGCTCCCAAATTTCACACGAGTCTTCCAAACCCATCCCAGCTCCAAGAGGAGACTTCCAAAGGCTTTTTAATCCCTCAAACCCAGGGGATAATTGGATATTTTCATCCCCACGTGCTAATAATTTCAATATCTAAGTATCACCATCACAAATCCAGTGCTGGACTGGATTTCCTCAGCAAAACACCCCTGAGATTTTTGGGGTTTTGGGGGTTTAAAACATCCCCTGTCACTCTCCCTCCCTAAAAATATGGGGTTTTGGAGCAGCACATTCCAGAACTGGGGGTTGGAGTGGCTCTAAATTGTTGTGAGGGTTTGGGATATCTGGATGGGAGAGAGGATTTTTCCCTCCCCCTAAAACATTTTCCCTGGAGTTAAAGCATTTTCCCTGGAAATAAAGCCCTTTTCCCTTATATAAAGCCCTTTTCCCTGTATATAAAGCCCTTTTCCCTGTATATAAAGCCCCTTTCCCTGTAAATAAAGCCCTTTTCCCTGTAAATAAAACATTTTCAAGGTAAAAAGAAATTTAAAAGGTAAATAAGAAATGTATTTCGGCGCTTCCTTAGAACTACAGACCCTTTCCCTGTAAATAAAGCCCTTTTCCCAGTAATTAAAACATTTTCCCTGCAGTTCAAGGATTTTCCCTACAGTTAGAGCATTTTTCCTTGGAGATAAACCACTTTTCCCTATATTTCCAGCATTTTTTCCCTGCAACTGGAGCATTTTCCCTGCAGATAAATCATTTTCCCCTTCATTTAGAACACTTTTCCTTGCACTTAAAACACTCTCCTTGTATTTAAAGCATTAAATACATTAAACATTTAAACATTACCATTAAACATTTTTCCCTTTCCCTGAACCATTTTTCCCTGCAATTTCAGCATTTTTCCCTGTATTTAAAGCATTTTTCCCTGTCCTTAAAACATTATTCCCTGCAGTGGAAACATTTCTTCCTGCAGATAAAGCGTTTTTCCTGGAAATAAAGTCCTTTTTCCTGGAAATAAAGCCCTTTTCCCTGGAAATAAAGCCCTTTCCCCCATAATTTAAACATTTTCCCTGCAGTTAAAGCATTTTTCCCTGCAGTTGGAACATTTTTCCCCATAAATAGAACATTTTTCCCCATAAATAAAACATTTTTCCCTGCAGATAAAACTTCCCTTCAATTAGACCATTTTTCCTAGCATTTAAATAATTTCTCCCTGTATTTAAATAATTTTCCCCTGCATTTAGATATTTTTCCCTGCATTTAAATAATTTTCCCCTGCATTTAAATCATTTTCCTCTGCATTTAAATCATTTCCCCCTGCATTTAAATAATTTTTTTCCCTGCATTTAAATAATTTTCTCTGTGGTTGGAGCATTTTTCCCTGCAGATAAAACCCTTTTCCCTGCAATTAGACCATATTTTCCTGGCATTTAAATAATTTTCCCCTGCATTTAAATCCTTTTCCCCTGCATTTAAATAATTTTTCCCTACATTTAAATAAGTTTTTCCCTGCATTTAAATCATTTCCCCCTGCATTTAAATCATTTTCCTCTGCATTTAAATCATTTTTTCCCTGCAGTTAAAGCATTTTTCCCTGCATTTAAATAACTTTCTTTTGCATTTAAATAATTTCCCCCTGCGTTTAAATCAATTTTTCCCTGCAGTTAAAGCATTTTCCCTGCAGATAAAACATTTTTCCCTGCAGATAAAACCCTTTTCCCTGCCATTAGACCATTTTTCTTGGCATTTAAATAATTTTCTCCTATATTTAAATAATTTCTCCCTGCATTTAAATAATTTTTCCCTACATTTAAATAAGTTTTTCCCTGCATTTAAATCATTTCCCCCTGCATTTAAATAATTTTCCTCTGCATTTAAATAATTTTCTCTGCAGTTGGAGCATTTTCCCCTGCAGATAAAACCCTTTTCCCTGCAGTTAGAGCAATTTTCCCTGCATTTAAATCATTTTCCCCTGCATTTAAATATTTTTTCCTGCATTTAAATCATTTTTCCCTGCATTTAAATCATTTTCCCCTGCATTTAAATCATTTTCCCCTGCAGTTGGAACATTTTTCCCTGCAGATAAAATGATTTTTCCCTGCAATTAGAACATTTTCCCCTGCAGATAAAACCCTTTTCCCTGCAATTAGACCATTTTCCCCTGCATTTAAATAACTTTCTTCTGCATTTAAATCATTTTCCTGTGCATTTAGATATTTTTCCCCTGCATTTAAATAATTTTCCCCTGCATTTAAATAATTTTTCTCTGTATTTGAATCATTTTCCCCCTGCATTTAAATCATTTTTCTCTGTATTTAAATACCTTTTCCCTGCAATTAGATAATTTCCCCCTGCATTTAAATCATTTTCTCTGCATTTAAATGATTTTCCTCTGCATTTAAATAATTTTTCCCTGTATTTAAATCATTTTTCCCTGCATGTAAAGCATTTTCCCTGCAGTTGGAGCATTTTCCCCTACAGATAAAACCCTTTTCCCTGCAATTAGACCATTTTTCCTGTATTTAAATCCTTTTTCCCTGCATTTAAATAATTCTTCCCTACATTTAAATAAGTTTTTCCCCGCATTTAAATCATTTCCCCCTGCATTTAAATCATTTTCCTCTGCATTTAAATCATTTTCCCTGCAGTTGGAGCATTTTCCCCTGCAGATAAAACATCTTCCCCTGCAGATAAAACATTTTTCCCTGCAATTAGAACATTTTCCCCTGCAGATAAAACCCTCTTCCCTGCAATCAGACCATTTTTCCTGCATTTAAATAATTTCCCCCTGCATTTAAAGAATTTTCTCCTGCGTTTTAATCATTTTCCCCTGCATTTAAAGCATTTTCCCCTTTATTTAAATATTTTTTCCCTGCATTTAAATATTTTTCTCTACATTTAAATAATTTTCCCCTGCACTTAAATAATTTTCCCCTGCATTTAAATAATGTTTCCTTGCATTTAAATCATTTCCCCCTGCATTTAAATCAATTTTTCCCTGCATTTAAATCATTTTCCCTGCAATTAGAACATTTTCCCCTGCAGATAAAACCCTCTTCCCTGGAATCAGACCATTTTTCCTGGCATTTAAATCATTTCCTCCTGCATTTAAATAATTTTCTCCTGTGTTTTAATAATTTTCCCCTGCATTTAAATCATTTTCCCCTTTATTTAAATAATTTTTCCCTGCATTGAAATATTTTCCCCTGCACTTAAATAATTTTCCCCTGCATTTAAATAATTTTTCCCTACATTTAAATAAGTTTTTCCCTGCATTTAAATCATTTCCCCCTGCATTTAAATCATTTTCCTCTGCATTTAAATCATTTTCCCTGCAGTTGGAGCATTTTCCCCTGCAGATAAAACATTTTCCCCTGCAGATAAAACCCTCTTCCCTGCAATCAGACCATTTTTCCCGGCATTTAAATCATTTCCCCCTGCATTTAAAGAATTTTCTCCTGCGTTTTAATCATTTTCCCCTACATTTAAAGCATTTTTCCTGCATTTAAATGATTTTCCCTGCATTGAAATATTTCAAATGTGCCTCCCACCCTGTGTTCCCGGATGCGCCGGTGCCGCGTCTCCGTTCGCGGGGGTGGCCCGGGGATGTCTCCGGGTCTCTCCGGAGCCGGAATGTGATGCCAGGAATGTTGTCCCCTGTCCTCAGGTTCTTCGTGGTGGAGGATCACATCCTGCACACCACGCAGGGCTTGGTCAACCGGGCCTACCTGGATGAGCTGTGGGAAATGGCCTTGTCCAAAACCATCGCCGCGCTCCGGACGCACTCGGTGAGTGGGAGCCTGTGCATCCCTCAGCCCTGAGAATCAGGGAATCAGAGAATCAGAGAAACACGGAATCACAGAGTCATAGAGTCATAGAGT